CACACACACACACACACACACACACACACACACACACACACACACACACACAGCTCTCACACACAGCTCACGTACATGCCCCCAAGTGCCAACAGAGAGGTCAGGCGTTCAGATTCAGTAGACTGCAACGACACCAGAGGGAATACCCCCCTTCAAATAAACCAAAGAAGAAGGGTACAAAAAAAAAGAAAAGAAAAAAAAAAAGAAAAAAAAAAACAAGGCAAAGTGGAACCATAGGCTGAGGCAAACTCGAAAATTTTGGTGACCCAACACCAACACCAATAATCGATGCACATTCTCTCTCTGTCTGTCTGTCACGGAACACAGACAATCAATGACCCATACACCCTGGCAACAACACAAAATCTGATCAAGAATACTACACAGTATGTACACAGAACTAGAAATGCAAACAATTCCTTCAGTGTTATTAAAAAACAAATTAAAAAAAAAAAAAAAAACCGGCTAGTAGCTGTCAAAAAGAGCTGACTGTACAGACCCTGGTGGCTGGATGCTACATACCTTCTTCCCTCAAATACAACATAAGGTCATCATAGCTGTATTGGGGGGTATCTTTCAGTCTAAATACAGCTATAATGACCGTACGACGTACGTTGTATTCGGGGGAAGAAAGTAGTACACACACACCTACCTGGTCAGCTTCACAACCAAGTTCACTTTCACTCGGAGAATTGTCAGTAGCCCATTCATCACCTGCGTGCTACCTGGCGGAAACAAGTGTGTATAGCTTTAGAAGTCAAGCATCCCTTGGACGGTCAAAGCAACCACTGTTTGGGTTCGCCCTGATGGACAGCCAGAGACTGGTACTGGTACCAGGCCAGCTAAGGCTCGGCGGGACAGGCCCAGATGTGCGGGGGCGGGTTTTTAAACGACCACTACACTCCGGCATGGTGGTACTGCATGGCGTGCCAAGCTTTGCCCAATCACAAGCGGTGCACCTTTTTTTTTTTTTTTTTTTTTTTTTTTTTTTTTTTTTTTTTTTTTTTTTTTTTTTTTTTTTTGAAAAAAAAAAAAGGCCCCATGGTTG